TGGGACTATGAGGATAATCATCTGAGTGAAGCTTTCTCCATTGAATTCAAGCTTGTTTTATTTGCTTGTTTGATTACTTGAATAGCTTAAAACAACGTCTCTACGTCTAGATAATTTGTAGTTTGCTAAAATAAAGATACATAGACGGCTCGGTTTTGATAGTTAAAAAAAAAATACTTGCTCTATACTACCCCGGTTGAATGTTCCACTTAACTTTTGGTTGGAAGTGTAGTTAGAACTGAGCCAGAGGAAATCTAAAAAACATTCACGAATTAATTGATGCGGGTGAAGGACAACGAGCGGTTATTGCACCAGAGACAGACAGACATACATACGGTGGGGAGAGTAATGACATAAAAATAAGGGTAAATACAATTTAATATCCAAACCTTTCATTTTAAACAATATAATAGCCAAACCTTTTCGAAAACAATCTAATATCCAAATCGTCAACTTTCCGTCCGTTTGACCGTTGGTTGACACTTCAAAAAAGCTTTGTTTAGGGGAAATTGTCACAATACAACTTTGTTTTCTTGTTTTGGAATTGCAGATGACTGAATATTTAGATATTCTATACCATCATGGTGGAGTCATGGACTTCTTGGGGTTGGAACCACGATATGTTGGTGGTTTTTCAGAGAAGATATCGATGGATATTGATGAAGCGTCGTACTTTGAACTTTTTTGAAGTGTCAACTAACGCTCAACGAACGAAAAGTTGACGATTTGGATATTAGATTGTTAAATGAAAGGTTTGGCTATTATATTGTTTAAAATGAAAGGTTTGTATATTAAATTGTATTTACCCTAAAAATAATTGAATAGTCTCTCAGTAGGGTTCACATTAGCGTTTTCATGGAGCAGCAGGTCGGCCGATTAGTTCAAAATCTATGGCTTCTCTTGCCACAAGTAATGTTTCTGCCTTGTCGTTCTCTTTTGACAAATTTATGCGCTGAGAGTGTTGTATTTCATATTAATTCGGCTTTAATCTAACCTGTTTGTTCAGCAGTTCTGCTTCTATTCATCATTTTGAATTCCCATCCATCAGATGTCAACAAACTTCCTAGTATATGTTTATTTGTTTTGGTTGCTGTCTCCTATAGCCTTGATAATGGGCGTTTCCTAGCATTGCGAGGGGATTGATCTATCTATGTTGCCGGCTTGCAGCTTTGGTTAGTTGTGGGTGTTCTCCTGATGGCCACTAGCTTGAGAATGTACACAACCTGTCAGCAACTTCAAGCACATGGTTTAGCGCAACTGCTTCAAGTAATGCCACTGTATAGCAATAGCAGAAGTGCAAAACATATATACAGAAGTGTATCTATCTTCTCTTCTATTTTGTCTCTGTTGCATCATGCTAAAAAAAAACTGGTATTTAGGCAGTCCCAACTCCTAGCCTTTCTACACCAGCGGATGGATTCAAGAAGCTCATTGCTGCTTAAATTCTGTCAGGTCTGCATCTACCTGAGCTTACCACCCTGGTAAAGGGATCTTATCAGATAATGATTGTACCATTTGGTCATTTCCTGCGTCGTCATCATCATCGTTACCCATTTTTCTTCCCCAAATGGGATATTCATCAGAAATCTTGTCGAATTTACAAAAAGTAAGTCAAATAAGAATACAGACATCATATCATAAATTGTAAATGAAAGGAGCCGCATATGGGTCAAAAATTAGAATAAAAAAATCGAAAAACGCGCCAGATAGGGGTCGAACCTATGACCTTCTGCTTAGGAAACAGACGCTCTATCCACTGAGCTACAGGCGCTTATCTGTCTAATTTTTTTCGTAAATGATATTTATTAAAATCTGTATTCTGTGGATGTGTACAGGAAGGCACCGGAGATGCCCATTTCAGAATTCTGGACACAACATTATGAAACATAATACATGTTTTGTTTGGTAACTTAATAGTAATAAATGGAGGGAGAGTTGTCTGAAACTTTTTGCACATAGCCCAGCTAGCTTCCTAACTTTGGCTGCGTATCTTTTAGTGGCTTCGCCGAGGACGGGCTACTATATCAAATGATGGGATGGAATGAGCACAAGAGACTAATGTCGAAAGATATCAGAGTGAAATGGTATGCATAGCCTATGCAGCATAGCAATTAACTCAAGAGTAGAGGAATCCGAATTAGCTACGGATTGCTTGAGGAAGAAGAAGGAAGAAAGTGGGTATTTCGCCTCAAACATTTCGTTTCATTATTATTACTATTATTATCTTTGTTTAAGTGTAACATTGTTGTTTTCTTTAGTATAGTTAGTCGTTAGCAAAGTGTTGTTTATCTTTGCTAATTGGTAGTTGAAACTTGGACACATATCTTGTTTCTGGTAATTTGATTTCATAGCTATAAAAGAAACAAAAGACTCAACAGAGATTTCTGAGTTTTCTTTACCCAATTTACTTGCAAATTATCATAGTATCAGAGCAATAGTGTTCTAGGGTTCATCCAATTTGTGTCATCGCCATGTCTAGTCAAAATACACCAGTGGGGCAGAGGTCGGTGGGAGGATATGGAGTAAGCGGATATGCAAGAGGATACCAGTTTGGATCACTCAACAAGGAAAGAATTCAAAATGAGACAATCACGTTTGGTAATCCTTACTATCTCAACTCAAACGAGAATATGTTTGTCTCACTTGTCGTCGAACTATTTGATGGGTCAAACTATTGGGGTATATCTATGCAAATGATGTGGAAAACCAAACATAAAATAGGATTCATTGGTGGGTCTTTACCCATGCCAGCTCATGCGATGCTAATAACACTCTTGTATTATGTTGGATTCAAAATTCATTGATGGGTCTTACCCATATTAATGCTAAGGCTTTGTGGGATGAACTTAAGAGAAGGTTTGGGATACCAAATGCCCTTAGGATCATGAATATGGAATATGAAATCAACAATTGTAAATAGGGATCTAAACCAATTAGTCAATGTTATACTACAGTGAAAGGTTTATGGGATGAGAATGTGGAGTATAATCCAATTGTACCTTGTGCACCTGGGAATCCCATTCCATGTGTTGTTGTTGCTGCTGCTTTTGTTCAGAAGTAGAAGACTGATTGTCTGATCCGTTTTCTTATGGGATTAAATCAAGCTTATGATATTGTGAAGACTCAACTGCTAATGTATAAAGCGTTGCCTAATGCATCCACAATAGTTGATGATCTATTACAACATGAACATAAGCTTAAGGGTGATGCGGTTACACGAGGAAAAGAAGGAAGAAGAAAGGAGAGATGGTTTTTGGAGAGAAATTTGATTCCCTCTACAGGGTTTCGCCAAAAATACCAAAGGGGAGTTCTAGTGAAAGAGAGAGTGATCTTGGACCTTAATTGAAGGCATTGATCAAGGTTGGAAGCAAGGAATCAAGCCTAGAAGAAGAAGAAGAAGAAGATCTAGAGGTTTCTTTGTAATCTCTCTCTCTCTAGAAACCCACCCTCTTCTCTTGGGTTTAAGAACCCTAGGTTTAAAATTGGGTTTAATGTTGATGTATGTGACAAATTCCTTGTTTGATTGATGATTTTACTTAATTGATGGATGTTGTCATTATCGACATGAGTTGGGTTTCCATTTTCATGTATTGAGATTTTGACCTAGGAGGGAGATAATCCCCTTAAAGCCCCCTTTTTGGCGTCTTCGGGTCACTCCTATAGTATATTTGTCCGGGTAGTCCCCGAGGGAGTTGATTCATGCGGTCTCCTAGCATTATACGAAACCCTAGGTTGAATAGAGCACCTATCCATCCACCGATTTGCCGTTCCGGGTCATTCCCGAGGGAGTCCTTCTCCAAACGGTAGAGTATTTGAGTCGATCGAACTAGGAGGATACTCAACATCGATCCAAAGGTCGAAAATAGGGGGATTTAACCCAAGAGAGCTCCAAACCTTGTAAATAGCTAGTTTAGTGGTTAGTCTAGATTAGTTAACTTAGTTTTATTAATCACTATCTTAGGATTGACTAGATAACGAACCCTAAACCTAAAATAGGGTAAGTCTAGATCCCCGTAGTACGATAAATTCTTATTGCTTGCTTGCCCTATACTACATCCGGTCGGCGATTATACTTGACCGTCGGATGAAATGTTGTAGTTAGAACGAGTCTACTTCTCTTGTATTTCCTGAGCATTCTTCTCTTCCACTCGTCTTTCCAATAATGTCAGAACCTTCATTGTATACTTTTTCACATACTAAAACACATAATCGTGCTTAGATGAGCAGTTAAATCCCTTGTATTCCAAACTTAAATAAATCATCTTCGTAATTTGGGTGTTGCCAACACCCCCTTCTGACTCAGTAACCCATCATGTCGTGTTCTAACTGGTGGATCCTTCAACTTAACCACAACACCCCTTGCACAGATAGCTACCTTAGGAGAACGAGGATTTTCCCCCATTGACTACAATATTAAAATCCCCTTGCTAAGGCAAAGCACTCGGTGTTACCCGAGGAGACTATTACACTCACTGGTGTAAAGTCATCATCAATCTGAGTCATTGCTTGTATCACAGCAGGAGGACGGTGGTCAATGGTCATGGAGGGTATCTAAAATTCTATATGCACAATCATCCTTCATTATCCTAGAACCACTAGCTATATCAACCATTGTGAGTTCTTCCTATATACTCCATATTGTCTCATATTGGAAGCTGATGAACCGTCTCCCTTATACTGCATCCCGCCAAAGTTATTGCTTGTGAATCTAAACGTAGAAACAGAGTAGAGAATGCTAAGTTTGATAGTCTGTATGCTCTGCCCATATCTCTCTCAATTCTGCTTGGTTAGATTTTGTTTTCTTTTCGGCTGTAATGCTCGTGTTTACTCGCATTTTTCAGCACAGAGAGGGGTTGGAGCAGCAGTCCTAGTTCTTTGGATCTCGTGTACTCATGTCACCAACTTCAAATATACTGAATTTTTAGCAACTGCACTTCGGCCCATGCCACACGTTGGCATACCAACACTATTAACCATACTTCAAAAGAAACCTAAACTTGTCCAATTACCTAATCGCAAATCATTACTGATTTCAGCATACTGTGTGGATGATCTTGCAATGGATATACGATAACAGAACCGAATATAACAAACAACATAATCACACGAGTACGTAGCATACACGCTTCGAGAACTAACCCAGAATAAGAACCTTAACCGAACACAGAAAGAACCTCTTAATGAACAAACTCAGTGAATGCGCCTTGTCTTGCCTCAAAACAACTAAAAGCAGCTACGGAAGTGGTTTTACAGGGAAAAAGAATACAGGTCATGGCAGATCTCAGATACTGCAACAAATATAGTAAACAAACACTCACCAAATGAAATATGCACATCATATGCCAAGCAAAGCAATCAAGAATGGGGTTACATAGCGCCGATAGCAAGCAGGATTCTTCCTTCCACTTCAAACTCATCATGCTGATTTTGGGAAAGTAGTGGATGGGAATTACTATTCTTCTGCAGTTTTCAAAAGGATGAATGAACCTACTCTTACGGGTTTTTTGGATCCCTTAGATATAATAGTCTCCTGGCAGGGGCTGGGGGTGCCAGTCCAGGAATGTCTCTGATGTCCTTGTTGTTTGGGTTCACAATCTGGAAAATCAAAATGCAATCAAGTAACGAAATATACTCCATAGTCAATTGAAAAAGTGGTAATGCCTCTCAGAGATCCCTCAAAAGAAATAAGACAAGATGACATTTGATGTGTTCTTGAGCACAACATTTGATTTCTTTTGTACAGTTAAGCATATGTGGATATGTAGGTTTTAGGGGACATAATTTATTAACCATCAATATTCGACATACAATTAGCCTGAAGTTCACTATAGAAATAAAAACCTGAAGTTCTGAACAATAGTTTAGCAAGGACATTCAATATTCGACCATCAACATGGCAAGTTTGAGACGTTATGAACTGTGAAGTAGATAGAGTAGAGATGAAGTGAAAGTACCTTCACAATGATTATGGCTATTACACCACACACAATAAGGAACAGGAAAAGCATAATGCATTTATCTGTTGCCACCTGGAAAGTAACTAGGCATTTAGCTTATGGAAATCTTGAGCAAAAAGAGTGAAAAAAGGAAGACACAAGGGATTGGAAAATCTACATACCTGCCTCCCAATCTCCTTCACCAGCTGTGAGGCCTTCTTAATTGAAAACTGAATTGTGTCCAGCTCATTAACAATTCGTTCCATTTGCTCAGTCTGACAAAACAAGCAGGTATGAAGAAAGCTGCCGTTGTAAGGAAGCGCAGCAAAAAACAAAAAGGAACGGAAAACAAGGTGATCATACTTACTTGTCCTTTTAAAGTAACAGCAGTTTGAGTGCCCACTTCTACTGTTTGTTGAACAACCTAAGTAACAAAACTGGGATTAGCAAGCAAGGAACTATTACAAGAGAGCAAAAGAAGTATTGTTGTTGTGGGCTAAAACCTTTTTGGAGCGCTCAATGGCCTGATCAGTCTCATCCATTGTCTTCATTCCGGCATCAACAAGTTCTTGATTTGACATAGCTAGATGTCACGGATACAAATGGCTAGTTTAGAAATGTTTTCTTAGCTAAACAAATACGGGCATGAGTGCAAGAGTCTTAACGCGTTACAGTTTGTGTGCTGGGTGTGGAATGGAGAATATACCCTGAAAAGAAATGTGAACTCACCTGATGCCATACGGGCATTGTCTTCCGCCATAGGTTCACTGGCCCCAGCTCCAGTATCAAATAGTTCAACCCTCTTGTTAGTACTCATGTACCTGCAGTATCCCTCGCTTAGTATCAGAGTCCACAAGCTTGAAACTGCCATGTAACAAAAGGGTAAGACAAGCATGGAAGGTAAGGGCTTACGTTTTCCTCAAGGCCACATAGGAATTCAGCTCTTTAACCTACAACGGTGGCAAACAAGGAGTCTCAGTTCAGGGCTGCCACCCCCAGAAGTTAACACACACTTTGCAGAACATATTGACCAGGTTAGCCTGAGGCAAAGGAAGACTTGGAAACACATACCATGGATTGCTTCTCGTCATTAAGTTGCTTAGTGACCTCGGGTGGATTTCTGGTCCCCTCATCTTTGATTTCACTTTCGAACTCCTTGATCAATCTGCAGATAGCGTTGTAGTGGGAGTCAGCTAGCCAAGTGAAAAGGGCAAAAAAAAAAAAAAAACACAAGACAAGACAAGAGTTGCTAATCCATTCTATGCTATACCTTTTGCATTCTCTCATCCTGCCAGTAAGCTCCTCGAGCTGCTTACTCTGCCGATTAGAATCTTTAATCTTATCAAGCCTCTGGAACCCATTTCTGCGAATTCGAAATCGTGTGGGGGGATAGAATCAAGGTCAAGCGAGCAAACAGGTATGGGCAACACGACCCATGAAAGGGAAGGTTAATTAGAACAACGCAATACAGATAAATGCGGCACAAAGAAGCGAAGAGATTTCATTTAAGAGCCCAAAAAAAAAAACGAGATCAAATTGAACCCTAGGAGAAGCAGCAGGATTAGGAAATGAGAGAAGACATACGAGAGAGCTCGGAAATTGTCGTTGATCTCGCCGTGGATCTGCTCCATCTGAGGAGTCATCGGCAAGTTGGTCGCCATTTTTGGAGGGGAAAGTGGAGAGGCGGAGTCAGAGAGAGAAGTAGCAGAGTCCGCCTTGGGATTTCAGATGATGAGTAGCAGCGTTGGGCGTTGATGCTGCCGGCCGCTAGCGTGGGAGGCGGGGGGACTGGGCAGCGATGGCGACGTTTCAGAGGGGAATTGAGTGAATCGAGTTGGTCGGTGACGGTGAGGGAGATGGGACAAAGATGCGGTGCGGCAGTGATCTCCGTCTTCGCCCGGCGGACATAGAAACTAACAAAAACACCGGAGGCAGCTAATCGATTTCAGTAATCAATCGTTCGTTGCTGCCGTCATCGGCTCGCTCGCTCTCTTTCTTCTCTTCTCTTCTCTACCATGGTTCAAAATCTGTGCTGTTTTGGGTGTTTGGTTGTGGAATGGATGCGCTGTAAACAGAAGTACAGAACAGATCGCTTCGTCGGAGTCGTTTCTTTCTTTTTTTTTTTTTTTTTTTTGGGTTTGCGATTTTCCCTTTTCTGCTGCAGTGGGTTGGCTGGTTGGGCTCTGACCGTATCATTGGATCCGGTTACTGAGTTGAGCCCAGCCCACATATCGCAACGTGTACGAATGTTACAGGGAGGGGATCACGTGCGATCCATCTCTTTCCCTCTACAGAAAGGAAACGTCTTTCCGGCCTGTTTTGAATTTCAGAAACCGGTTCACCAAACAAAAAACATTCAGAAACCGAAATTCCATTACCGGAGTAGCTATTTCCAGTTTGAGCCACAAATTCAAACTTTGCGCACTGGAAGTTGTTGCTGAAACAATTGCATACACAAAGTCTAACTGATTCATCTCACGTCGAAAGTGAACAAAATCGTGGTCTCAAGTCTAGGGATGGAACGGGTCGGGGACGGATAGTGCATATCCGTTATCCTATTCAAAGTAGTTCGGGCTTTATGCATATCCATACCCACATAAGAAACGGGTAGAACATTCAAACCATGCTCATACCCGTTCGGGTTTCGGGTATCCACGGTTATCCATGGGTAACAGTTTCTCTTTATAACTACAACCAATATGTTAATATTCACATGAATTCTCACGTTATGTAAGACGAAAAGTACGACAATAATTCACTAGAATGAAGAAAATTAATTAAAACAATACAATTTTATAAAATTATTATATTTATATACTAAATATAAAATATGTTAGAGAAAAATATTGATTATTTCTAGACAAAATACATATGCATGTGTATAATCGGGCGGGTTCGGGTTGGATAGTGAGAAAACCAAGCCCACCCATTAACCGTAATATTCGATTTCAGGTTTTACCCGTACCCACTAAAAGTCCTTCGAGTTCAGATTTTTCCCTACCCGATTAGATCGGATTCAGGCGGATATCCACGGTTACGGATATTTTTGTCATCCCTACTCAAGACTTATCAATGCACCACTGGAAGCATTAGTAACTTTCAGCATTGATAATTTTGATCTTACTTGTTTTCCCTGATCAGATTGACTTGTTTTGAGACAGATATGTAGGCGAGACTGATCAGTATGGGTACTCTTCTCGACCTGACTTTCTTTTAAAAAAAGGGTTTCATTAAGAATGCATCGTCCAGGCTCAATAGAAAATATACAAGCATTGATCGATAGGGGTTGGGAAATCATAAACAACAAGGTCCAAACAAAACCCGAAACCAATAGGGCTCTAAGCCAATGACCCAAAACCAATCATTAACCCCGAACCCTAGCCACCTCTGAAAACCACGTCATCGTGGCTGAAAACTAGGGCTGGGAAACGGTGTGGTCTGGTCCAGACCAGACCATATATACGGTGTATGGTCCAGATCGAGAGGCTAAAGTATGGACCACAGACCATACCACAAACTATACGGTCCGGTCCAGACCATGCCTGTGCGGTCTGGTTCGGTCTGGTCTGGTCCAGATAGACCACACTCAACGAAAAATGAATAATTTGTTTAGTCAATCACACAAAAAATTGAACCAATAACCAAGAAAAATAATTGTTATTTGCCTTAAAAACATTAATCCTAACATGCATGAATAATTTTGATACTCTAAATCTTAGTACATAACAAAGATACAAAGTAAAAACATCCCAGCTTGCATCATAACGTCATAAACATTAACATAATGTCATATGGACACATTATTATCTCTACTCTCTGGTTAAATGTGGTTGTGAATGAAAGAGGGAAGAGATTCACAAAATTAAGGTTGAGACTTGGGTGTCATTGTGGGAGTTTGGAGAGTGGTCGAATGGGTTGTTAACACGTATTGACAAGTCAGTTGGGTCCACGGTTTGGTCCGGTAAATCACGATCTAGACCAGACCAGACCAAGAGATCAAATCATAAAATAATACAGACCATGGACCAGACCAGACCATACTTCACGGTCTACGATCCGGACCAAACTGTGCGGTACGGTTTGGACCACGGTTTTTCTAACGGTCTGGTCTATTTTTCCAACCCTACTGAAAACCACAACTGGCGCTCGACCAGTCCAAGTAGTGTCGTCAATCAACAAACACCAGTGGCGGACCCAGAAATTTTACATAGGGGTGTCCTCTTTTAAAAAATAAATTAAATACAAATAATTCTAAAATAATTAATAAATAAGAAATAATATTTAATAAGAAATACCTTACTCATACAATCATACAGCTTGAAAAAAATTCACGATGTGTTTTCATATTAAAAAATTATTGTAGAACACACTTGGGGTCTACACTGTTCAAAACTAATTGTCTCTGTATATCATATTAGACAATCATTCACGAACTGATCACATATTCGATTTCTAAACTTGTTCTTGATGTAATCCAAAGCTGAAAAGACTCTTTCAACACTTGTCGTACAACCATAAATCAATACAAATTAAGGGTAGCTTGAAATTTGTTTAATTGTTAGATTTTGAAAATAATTAGAGATAGAGGATGACATTATACTATTACACAGTGTTTAAAATCGAATAACATATGAGTTGTAGTCTAATGGAAATTATGTTTATTAATAATAAAAGTGTCCTAGGTTTGAATTACCCAAACTACCACTTATATTCTTATACTCAAACTAAAAGATGAGAGTAGGATAATCACTTTTTTAAATTTAGGGGTGTCCCCGACTATCAATTATAATTTTTTTTCCATACGTAAATTACCACCGGGGGTTGGATAATCGTTTTCCCAAAATTTAGGGGTGTCCCCAAACATCCGTGGGTCCGCCCCTGACAGACACCACCACCAAACATCAAGCAAAGGAGCCGGTTCCACCCAACCCAGAAGATATGATGTGGAAGGCAGACCCTCCAAATAAACCACCCCGAGTCGAATCAACCATTCGCATCTCACTGCACGAAACTCATGAAAGAACACAAACCAATTGGTCGGCCGACGAAGGAAATAGAGGAGTGACGATCTTCTGTCTTCAAGCTCACCAAACTGAGTCCAATGCCAAGGGCTGTATATCCAAAACATAGTTAGTAAAATATAGTACGGGAAAGTTACGTATAAAATATGTATGGGTATTTTACTTCGTCTCTATGCTAATGTTACGTTTAATAATACGTTAATTGTCATAAATATAGAAAAATTAATCATTTTAAAAATAAATAAATATATTAATAATAGTAAAGTTAGTAATTTAATTCATTAAATACGGATATTAAACGTGTTATACGAGTTTTATACGTGTTTAATACGGGAGTCATCAAATGAACGGGCAAAAATGAAACAGCTTGACAATAATACAGATACGGAAGTTTTAAACGGATAAAGTACGTACGGGTACATATACGTGTATTAAACGGATTATTTACTAACTATGCTCCAAACCACCTGGATTTGCAAGGCGAGAATAAGGAGGTAGACCAAGGCAACACGAGGAGAAGATAAGTCAGGTATGTACTGGAAAGCAACGCATAAAGAGAAAAGGACAACCACAACAAAGGAAAGACAAAGTAAATATGTGGCTGGAAACAACACATTAGAAGAGGAGAGAGCTGATCAGGAAAGGAAAAGAACGGGAGGCGGAGTGACACTGACATCAGCCCCCTCGGATGCCTGAAAGGAAGGGTTTTCTAGAGAGGTATCATCGACCTGACTTGATTTCCCCCTTTCTCCACCTGTTTTATGCCTAAATTACATGTAATTTTACTCAAATTATTTAGGATTTTTCATTTAACTCATATTTTAGTTATATTAGAGTGATAAATAGGTGAAAACCTCAATTTCTCTAATAATTTAATTATATTTACCTTATTATAGCTTGTTTCTTTAGTTTTTAATGAAAATTGTATATTTTTAATATCTTCCCTTTTAATTACATATATATATATATGAGTCAACCTGCTCGATCAACACCACGTGATAAATTACCCGACCTGTACTCGACCTGTCACAAGAGGGGTGTCAGGTCGGAAAATACATAAAATAATCGACACTAAATCTCTGTTTCTCTTGTAGTGAGTTAGGTCAAAAAAATACCCATGTGGATACAGTGCGGTACGAGTCGAACGATCCTTATATATTATTTGAAGTAAAGAACGTCGATATTTAACTCTTTACAAGAAGACAAAAAGAAAGCATTTCATTAAATGAATAACAACAACAGTAAAAGGAGCAATTTAGTCTTCATAATTGAAAGTTGGAGTTTTAAAATTTATTTGGTATTTAAGTATGAGTTTGGAAAAGTCAAAAAAAGATAAATATAAGTAGATATTCATGAAATTCATGATAGAATGAGACGCGACATGATGAGCAGGTCATAAATAGTAATCGCGCCTCCTTTATGGTATAACGGAACATATAATATTAGTCCAAATCGATATCGGATTGCACAAGTAAGTTCAGAAATTGCACACAAGCCTATTACGGGGTTGAGTAGTGATGGCAATGGTAACCCCGTCCCATACTATTGCGGATTGGAGCGGGTAAAACCAGTGCGGGTACAGGCCACGGGGTTGTGTGGGTCGAGCCACTTTTACATTTTATTTGAAAAAATACACACAATTTTAGTTTTTACAATAAAATGAATGAAAAATCACTTTATGAATGAAAAATAGTGATAATAGAATGGGTAATTGAGTCTAACAAAGTGAAAGGTCGCCTCTAACTAGTTGAAGTAAAGTCAAAATAGGATAATAAGATAAATATATGTATAGATTTGATAAGAATTTGAGATAGAATGAATAAAGGATGGGGTGAGGCAGGGCGGGTCGGAAGTCAACACCCATGCTACGCCCCACGCTATTACTGGTCAAATAATACCTACCCTTTTGCGGATCAGATCGAGTAATACTCGCTAGACGGGTTCAAATTGCCATATTGAGTCGTACAATACAAATATTACGTGGATTGGATGGAATCAACGTTTCTTCGCCCAAATTCTCACTGACCAATTTCTTTCCCCTTCCCAAATTAATCAGTTTCGGTTCATGA